TAGGAACGTAGATCGACCGGTAAATCGAGAGCTTCGCTTTTTGACTCAGCTCTCTCTTCACCACGACGGACCGGTACAGCGCCCGCTTCACAGCAGACGCTACGCCAATCCGCCTGTCGATCTCCCGCTCCCTTCTTCCCTCAGACCTGAACAAGATCCCGAGATACTTAAACTCCTCCACTTAGGGCAGGACACCCCTCCTGACCCGGAGAAGGCACTCTACCCTTTTCCGGCTCAAGACCATGGCCTCGGATTTGGAGGCAACATTTATTCAACATGTCAATTTTATATGCAATATAGTGATCTCAACATATTCATATATTTATTTGTATATATAGGAATAATAAAAGCCCCTTTGAATCAAAGCTTGTCTCAAATTACACAGGTATATATTTTTTAACAAGCACCTGTGGATAAACATTCAGATTTTATTTAATTATAACTACATATGAGGATAATGATAGAACTTGGCAGGGAAAACTAGTAAAGGCATTGAAGCTAGATGGAAAATATTATACATAGATGCCCTAAACAGCTTCCCTCAGAGCTTGTTCAGGGAGCTGGTAATTGCAACCGGAAATCTACGACAATTACTTGGAATAACAGCTTCTATTAGAATAATGACAGGGTTACCTTTAGGCAAGGGCTCTTATATTTCTGTGGGAAATAAGTCAAGATAGGGAGAGAAAACAAACACTAATAAAGGAGGAAAACTGGAGGAAATGGATGTTATTAAATGATGACGAAACATGAAATGATTCAGGCTTTAACACCACCACTCCGGTGCAGAATTTCTATTTCAGGCATCAAACCTTTCTGGACTCCATTTCTTTGTTCAGGTTTCAAAAAAATTCATTTTGGGATGTTAACGTGTAGAAAAAAACATTTGTGGTCCTGTAGCCGTGGTTACACACCGACACAGCAGTGATGCTGCATTTTATCAGGGTAGAAATAAACAAAACAAACTCAGAACATTCTCCACAGACCAGCCATTTGAGAGTCCTTCTGAAGAGGGATACTTGACTCAAAGGAGGCTCCCTGACGATGGCGGGGCTGTAGCACATGTGTTTGCCTACCAGCACGTGCTCAGAGTGAGTCTGAGTCGATGACTTAGGCTACTTTTTGTGAAATCCGATTTTTTTTGCGTCGTCGTTCATATTTCCAGCATGATCTTTTTT